TATTATTATTATTATTATAAATTTCAGATAGGTGAACAAATTTAACTGAAAGAACATTTTTAGAAATGCACCACATCAATAACGAAGAATATTGTATGGACAAAAAAACAGATCTCAACAATTTGAGTGAAATCATTTAGTATTCAGACACTGTCAAAGTTTGACTGATTCCAATTTTTATTGATGTTTTTACTGTTCGCTTTGTTCCAAAGTTTCTTTATTATTCTCTCGTTAGTAAGTGTTCCATATTTATATCTTTATGAAAAAATATCTTGTAATCTATTTCAGTTGTCCTGACGAAGGTAATGAATTTGCCAAAAGCTTGACAGTAACAAAGAGTGTTCTTTGTAACAACCCTACAAATCCAACTACAACCTCACAAAATAAATCGATTTATATTAAAGCCAGTCACGAATTCTTCTCAGTATACATGTTGTTACGGCCATTTTAATATATACCAAAAATACAATATTGAAATATTTGTGGTAAAGTTTCATCAACGTTTCATTTATTTTTGTTATGCTTGATGCTTGTATTTAAATAACATTTCAGGTACAATTATTTCATTTGATGGACAGCACTGTACTTGCCCCATTCGTAATGAATATGTTGAGGCTGATGAAATCGATTCAATGTACCAGTTATCACAAACAACTTCAATTGACATAGCTTCAGAAGTGGGTTGACACCACTGATATTGTTTTTTTATTAACTCCATTGAAACAATGAAAGATAAAATTCGACTCCACTTTAATAAAATCATCTAAAGGAACAATTCGTTCAGGTCAGTCTCAACTTCCTACACTGTCGGTTGATAGACTGACACCTATCAAAAAACAACTACTCCTCTGGCTAATACCACGGAAGGCGTTGAATATCCGACAGGTGTCAGTGCAGGATTCTTCACTGAAGTTATTCCTGCATATGCTGTTAACGATACAACTGCCATAATAGATTTTCAATTATTGGAACACACTTGCAGGCCGGTTTCGGGCTGTTTGGCCACTCGTCAGTGCAAGGTAGTGTCTATCATCAATATAAAGCCGATGATTTCCGATAATTGAAACTCGAATTACTTCAGAGTATCATTCCTCGACCAAGGCTGAAGCGGACGACAAACAATATGTTTGTCATCGCCCCATCTGGCTGTGAACGAGGTAATCAAGCGAAATTTGCCAAATTCCTCGTATAAGGAGAGAAAACTTTTCATTTATAGTCAGTGGACTGATATATATGATGATATTAGGATTCAAATATTAACGTGGAACCTGAAATAAATTGTTGGTAACATGATTACTTTTGAATTTGTTCACCTTCA